GGACGCCAAAACATATCGGCCGAAAATGGCACTTTTGGCAATTTTTCTGCCTATACATCGGCGCATTCCTGCTTTCTTTCCTCCCCGCTGGGCGCTGCTCTGTGTCCCAGCGGGGTGGAGAGAAAGTGTGACAGCCGGCCGAGTGTTGCGGGAGGAGAACGCTGTGTTGGGGGTGGGGGGAAAAAAAAAATCTTGCACCAGGGCCCTTTGTTTCTTAGGTCTGCCACTGATGTGACTTGAGGGTAGGGTGTTCTTAAAAGTGCAAGCAGGATGCAATTCAAGGAATCTTATACCTAACCGAAATGGTATCCAGAAGTCAAGACCAACACAAAATGCCAAGTCCTGCAAAGTTAGCTTGCCGTGCAGATTTCCTTCACAATGCTGCCTGTTTCCTCAGCTCCATTATTTATGGCTCCATACAGCTGGCACCATATGAAATGCCCCTCTCGTTATTTTTATGCGCCGTGCAGCTCTTATTCCAGCATATTAAATTAACTTCTTTCTGTTTGGTCAGGGCGCTTAGGCCATTTTTCTCAGTTTGCGACTATTTCGCAGAGCAAAATAAGAAAATTGATGTAGCCGAGAATGTTATTTACTCTGTAATAAAAAAGCAATCAGTGGAGTCAGACCCATGGCTTCCTGTACGGAAAGTTGCTAAATTATTGTTTGTAAGGCATTCATCAAAAACGAGTTGTTCTAAACAGTCTTGTAGCAAACAAGGTTTGCAGTGTTACAGATCTGTTTTTTTGAGGGATGTCTTTTACTACAATCCGGCTGAAAAATAGTCCTCATTTTTCTCCACTTTACTATTTACTACCAGCAGATAAATCTCAGGCTTTCATTGTCAGACAACCCTTAACACTGCGCTACACTACTTCTGAACGTGTACAAACCTCTGTTATGAAGGAGTTAATGCCACAATAAAGTCAAAAGGTTTTTAATCTATTCTAAATGTTGATGAAATCACTTACAATGGATGCTGCCCCTTGATCTTTAAAAGTTTTAGTTTCCTGCAGAATCAGCTGGTCTCCTGAGCACTGGCCCTGATATCCTGTTTTAGGGTGGATTCTTTCCTACTGCAGGATGCTATGGAGCCACCCTTGTGTGTGCTAATATGCTATGTGTGTCTCCACAAACACACAGGGACAGCAAGGCAAACCACTCCCCTGCTCCCTCTCTTCCGTCTTCCCATGCTACCTCTCATCTTTCCTTCTCCCTCCTACAAGCTAGTAGATGGACAGTTGCAGCAGACTGTTCGGTCCCTTGTGATCTTGTGCTAGTCAGAAAGTTCAGTGAAGCCGAGCTGAGAGAGTTGGAGCTGTTCAGAAATATGATGACTGTAAGTGTTACATAGTTACATAGTATTTGAGGTTGAATAAAGACATAAGTCCATCAAGTCCAACCTATTGCGTGTATGTATTTATGAGCAGGTGTGTGCGTGTTTGAGTCCATGTGTGATTTTTCTCCTAGCAGTACCTGTACCCCTTTATGTTACGGTCTCCGAGGAACTCGTCCAGGAGTCTCTTGAATGATTCAACACTCTTAGACTCCTGAGCACTGGCCCTGATATCCTGTTTTAGGGTGGATTCTTTCCTACTGCAGGATGCTATGGAGCCACCCTTGTGTGTGCTAATATGCTATGTGTGTCTCCACAAACACACAGGGACAGCAAGGCAAACCACTCCCCTGCTCCCTCTCTTCCGTCTTCCCATGCTACCTCTCATCTTTCCTTCTCCCTCCTACAAGCTAGTAGATGGACAGTTGCAGCAGACTGTTCGGTCCCTTGTGATCTTGTGCTAGTCAGAAAGTTCAGTGAAGCCGAGCTGAGAGAGTTGGAGCTGTTCAGAAATATGATGACTGTAAGTGTTACATAGTTACATAGTATTTGAGGTTGAATAAAGACATAAGTCCATCAAGTCCAACCTATTGCGTGTATGTATTTATGAGCAGGTGTGTGCGTGTTTGAGTCCATGTGTGATTTTTCTCCTAGCAGTACCTGTACCCCTTTATGTTACGGTCTCCGAGGAACTCGTCCAGGAGTCTCTTGAATGATTCAACACTCTTAGCTGAAATCACTTCCTGTGGCAGCGAGTTCCAGACCCTAACCCCTCTTACTGTGAAGAACCCCTTGCGCCCTGTACGTTGAAATTTTTTTGTGCCTTCTGGTCCTTGTTACGGAGCTGACCGTAAACAGTTTGCTACTAAGGTTGCTGTCACCCTTGAATAGTTTATACATGAAAATCATGTCCCCCCTTGGTCTCCTAACCTCCAAAGAGAACATATTTAATTTTAACAACCTTGTTTCATAGTTCAGATCCTCGAACCCCTTAATGAGTTTGGTTGCCCTCCTCTGGACTTTTTCCAGCTCAAGGACATCCTTTCTGAGTATTGGTGACCAAAGCTGGACCGCATACTCCAGATGTGGCCGAACCAGTGATCTGTAAAGTGGCACAATTATAGACTTGTCCCTGCAATACATTCCCTTCTTAATGCAAGACAGGACTCTGCTTGCTTTGTTTACAGCAGTCTGGCACTGCGAGCTGTTCTTCAATCTGCGGTCTACAATGACCCCCAAATCCTTCTCCGTTTCCGACTTTCCTAGTGGCACGCCCATAAGTGTATAGTCCATTTGCCTATTTTTAACTCCAAGGTGCATTACTGTACATTTATCGACATTGAACTTCATCTGCCATACAGTTGCCCATTCGTCCCCTGTGATGCTCTGTGCAGCTTCCCGCCCAGCTCACTGACGTCACCAGTTGCCATGAGCTGAGTGATGTCAGTGAGCTGGGCGGAATACCAGACAGAGTCGCTGACAGTGTGGTGAAGAACGGCAAGTCAACACAAAAACTTTGCACTTTCCCATGCCCCCCAGTCACCGTTCCCTGCCAGCAACCCCACCCTCCCCCTGCCTGAAGGAACAAATCCAGCATCATCTAGCACTTTCCTCACCCAGGCTTACTGTCCTTGGCCCACCACTTTAATTCATTCCACATATGTCCTTTAAATCCTGGATATCATGTGGGTGTTACCTAGGGTGGTCTGCATGCAAATGCAGTCTGCCTAGAAGTGCACACTTCTCCAGACTGTCATCCACCCATTCAGGCATTTTGATATTTGCATAACTCCTCCCAAGAGCCAGCCCACTTCTTGCATCAGGGCTGAGGGCCTGGGAGTACTTGGAAGGGCCTGGGAGTACTTTAGAGGAGTATTGAGGCAGGGTGCAGTGATGTTTTCAGGAAGCTATGAACAGCACCCTGCTGGCTACTCCCAGTAGCCATAATTGTCTTCCACACCACTGGGTCTAAAATAAGGTACATATTTAAAACAACATTTTTAACATGGCACCTTCCTTGGTTGTAAAGGATAAGAGTTTGTAGTTCCGCTTTAAATTGTGCTTGAGCCCACACAATTGCCATAAAAACAATTGACTGCCTGACCCTCCCAATACTTGAACCACTCCTATCTGTTAGTCGAGGCCAAGGTTGGGTGCTTTATGATGCAGAGGCTCTGACTGGCTGCTTAGACATGGCCAAATATGTCAGAGCTTTTGCCTTATACCGATCTGATCTTACACTGCAGCTTCCTAACGGAAGGGACATTAAGGCTAGGTTCAGACATGTTTGACCGCAGGATCGTGTACAATTGCACACAGCGATTGCAGCGCAGCCCCATTGACTTCAATGGGGTTACATCTGCACGGCAATCGTTAATGTCATGCGCTACAACACAAGAAAAATGCATGTTACATATGTTTTTGTGTGCTGCCATTGAAGTCTCTGGGGCCACAGTGTGTTCATGCGTCAAAAAATGCACCTGTACTATTTTTTCCAGCACACAGCGTGTTCCGCATTAACACGTGTAAGGCAACGTACGTTAATCTGCACAGGTGTAAAAGGGGCCTGAGGCAATGGTTACAGGGATTCTGGAGTACCTCTCTCCAGGAAAATGGGTAGTATTTTAGGGGATCGAGGAGCCATTTTTAAATTTCAGCTTCAAAAGGCATTCACACCTTTGCTTTGACACATGAAAATCCGGCAAAACCCAAAATGCGCTTGTGTTGCCATTAATTTCTAACGGCACCCCAAACGCGACCAGGAAGACCCGTGCTTTGCTTTTTTGCCGCATGTTCAGGACCCCATTGAGCAACAAATGCAGCACAGGAACGCGCATGAATGTAATGCGCGTTACCGGGAATGCCATTGTGTGAATTGGGCCTAAGTGGCCATCTGCACCTTCACTAAAGGAGATTGTACAGAAAGATTGTAATATGTGTTGACAGATTAACTCCAGGTGGGGTATGAGGTTGCCGTATTCTTTTTCATATACAGATACTATGTGTTATTTGATGTAGGATAGCATGCATAATACAGTATTATATTATTTTTATGTACAGCAAAATATTATAAAATCACCCAATACACTACTATCCTGATTGCTCCTGTTTAACTCTTTCCAGGGTTTATGATCTAGCCTACTTGTCTCTTCATACTAAAATTACACCCGTAACGTGATCTAGCTGTAAAGGTAAGATTTCCTTCCAGGAGTCCTCAGGGTGCCCCAGGGTCACCGTATATAACATATCACCCAGGGCAACCCTGCGCTGGTTCCAAACACACATCTTTTCCCAGCCCTTGCAAGGTCATCTTCTGATCTGCCCTCCTCATGTTCAAGGAGGATGGAGCATGCTGAAACACAGTAGGGAACCTTTGCTACTTGGTGATTATTTTTAAACTCACCCGAATGGAGAGTTTAATAAATTATTCATTGGAGGAAAGAAGGAAGAAAAGAAAAAAAAAAAAGAGGCTGCGGCTGAAGTGCTGATGTCAGGAGACAAGTGCAGTGTAGTATGGTGCAGTCAGGATAGGGAATGCCTGCCAGCCAGCTCCTTCCCGAGTCTCTGTCCTCCCAGCACTCACTATTGCACAGTGCACACACATTCTCTCAGACAGGGGGGTCAGGATGAGGATGGCACTCATGAAGGAACCCCTGCTGTTCTTTATGTTGCTGGGCTGTATGCACCACACTACTCAACTGAAGAAAGCTACCAGATGTCCTTCCACATGCAGCTGCACCAAGGAATCAGTCATATGTGTCGGCTCTTCCTGGATCCCCAGGACCATTCCCAGCGACATCAGCTCCTTGTAAGTGGAACGCCGGCTGCACAAGGTGCATGCATGAGGGATGCTGTGTCCTGTTCAGCTGCAGGATCTCTCTTTAGAAGTGTTCAGTTCGCAGCTGGACAAAGGAAATATTAAGGGGTGTGATGCAGTTTGATGGCTATCATAAGTAACCAGCATGCATGCAGAGAGATTTCAGCTCCCTTTAAAAACCTGCCAACTTTTTATTGTGCAGCTGCAATAGATTTCTAAAGCATTGCGGTAATACTTTTTCAGTGGGATGACCGATAGTTAATGTGCATGTGGGTGCTGATGTACTAGATCTAAGAAGGGGACATGAAAGAGTAGGTAAAGCTTCAATACAGGTGCGGTCTGTGTGTCTGGACCACCAATGCTGTAAACTCTGTTGTAGATGTTTATAATGCAGCTCTGTCATTGCTTTAGCAGTGCTTGCTTACGCAGCGTGCAATTACATATACAATAATTGCACTCCAGAGACTATGTCCCATGGCCTGAAATAGTTCTGTGTGCTGGCCAAGGATGCAGTGAAGTTGGAGGAGGGGGGATTCCAACTTGCAGGAATGGAAACTCTGCTGTGACGTCACACAGTATGGCACTGACGCAGCTCCTTACAATAGGGACATTTTAATATGCCTCATTTAAAGGATAAGTTCACCCTAAAGTAACAATTTAGTTATGGGCTAGAGGATGGATGGTTCCCATGAGATGCGACAGCTTCTGGCTTCTTGTATGTCTTGGATACTCCAACAGTGAGACGTGCCCGCCATAGTTCCTGGCTCCCTGGAAGTGTTGTGTCCCAGCTCCTCCTATTGCATCTTCCATAACAAAAAATAAATCCAACAGGGAGAGTGGGATCCCTTCATAATGGCCAAGACAGATGTGCAGAACCTGGATCTCCAGCACAGAGGTCTCATTAATAGTTTTCTAGAACTATACTGTCTAGTGGTTTAATTTTCCAGCATGTACCAAAAATAATAGTTTTGGGTGGATTGGCCCTATAGGAGCGTATTCCAGTGCACTGGATTTGTATGTTTGTTAGATCACCTAAGCATTAAAATCTACCATTTATAGTTCCCTGTTTCTGTTCTAAAACCTTGTAGTTTTGCACTTCATGCTGCAACAGTGGGAGTCTCGCTTTTTCTGTGGCATTATCCATTGTAAAAATGAAAGACTGGAGAGTGAGGCCCTGTACAACGGCAGTGGCAGGTGGGTAAACTCAGGTGCAGGGAAACCCTGAAGGATAGAACAAGATGTATGGTAGATATGTGCACCAGCAAAAAAATTGTTTACACGATGGGGACAAGGGCCTCTTCCCCACAACCCCGACCCGGTGGTTGTGGGGGTCTGCGGGCAAGGGGGCTTATTTGCATCGGGGTACCTCTTTATAAATGAGTAAGGGGTACCCATTCACTAAAGGGTTAAATCAAATAGTTAGTAAAAAGTCCAGACTTTTGATAAAATCCTTTCATTGGAAAAAAAAAAAAAAACGGTACATTTTTGACTATTCCATTAACAAAAAAAATGGCTCCATCGATGTAATCCAGTGTGAATCAGGACCCCCACCGACCCGCCGCAATAAAAAAAGTCCCGCCGCACGACACCCATCCGAACCCGACGAAAACTCGCCGCAAAATGACATTCAGCCCGAAAATAATCAGATGGGCAGAGCGAGTCGTGACGTCACGGCTCGCTCCGCCCTTTTGACATTCTCAGCTGTCAAATGCTACATAGCAATCGGGAACTCCCGAATACTATTCATGAGTTTCCAAATGCTATTCGGGTCTGTGAGCCGAGGTGTCATCTGAAAAGCATTATGAAAAGCATTTTGGGGGAAACCCCACGCACTTTTGTTTGTGTTTTAACTTGAGGGGGGTGCCTCCTAACATTCCTACCAGACATAAAGGGTCTGGTATGAATTGGGGAGGAACCTCACGCTTTTTTTTTTGTCCGGTCGACAAAAACGAAATGTCGACCGGACTACCGCTAATGAAATTCGGACGAAATTTTGGAAATCGGGAATTCGGATTGGTTTGCATTCGTTTTAGTTGTAATTCTGAATTCGGATACTTCCAAATCTCAGAATTTCTGAAAATTTCGTCCGAATTTCATTTCGGAACGAACATGTCTAATGTATGATGCCAACATCTACTAAAATTAATTATTGGGAGCCGACTGACTGTTTAATGGGGATATTATAATTCTGGACTGTAATATCCTTTTTTTAATGGGAGCTTACCGCTTTATTTTGAAAATGTGTCTGATTTACATAGATATGTAACACATTAAACAGCCCTCTTAGACTTGCCAATGCACTATCCTGAAAATATATGTCATATAAGGTTCTGCTGTGCCAGAACTCCAGGCAGCGGCAAAAGGAACACTGCCATGGTGCATCCCTTATGATTCCACATTTTCTTTAAAAAAATATGCATCCTCACAGAGGCGTAACTAGAACCTTCCGGGCCACGGTGCAAGAAGCCATGAAGGGCCCCCTCCCAACCGCCATGGCACCGCATGGTTACCAGGAAGACTGCCGAGGTCCCCAGCAAGCGAGGGACCTCGGGCAGCCGCTTGTTTAAAATTTTAGCGCCGGTGTTCTGTCGAGAACGCTGACCCAGTATCTGCGCTTACGTACAGGCGGGATTACCGAGGAAACCGGCATTTATTTACAAAGTATTCGTTTGTAATTGTTACTTGTGACTGTTAGTAATATACTGTCCCTGGCAGTAAATGATGGATGGAATATTATTAACGGTCACAATTAACGATTTAAACGAAATACTTTGTAAATAAATCCGTTTCCTCGATAATATTCGTCTGTGCGCAAGTGCAGATGCTGAGGTTGGCAAATTCGACTACATCGGCGTTCTCGACAGAACACCGGTATCTGTGTTTAGTATCGGGGCATTTTCATGAGTATAAGTACTCGTGAAAATGCCCAGTATTGGCAGTGGTGTATCCCTACTTAAAAATATAATGCATTGCTGGGACTTGTAGTCCTACATAGTTGGAGCTATTCTGCATTGCTGTATAATCATCATACTTCAATGCAGAATACCAGCAGCTATGCGGGACTACAAGTCCCAGCAATACATTATAATAGATGCCTGCAGCATATTCTGCTGGTGACAGCCTCTCCTATCCCTGCTGCACAGCTGCCCGTACATGCGGCGGCTGTGCGGCAGGGAAGGAGCGGCACTCTATCGGGGGGTCCCTCTTCTTGCTCGCTGGGTCCCCCCAAGTGGTGGAACGCCAGGGCCGGTCGCGATTGCGACTGCTGCGACCCTGGTAGTTCCGCCAGTGCATCCTCAGAACCTTAGACCTGCAAACTTAGACCCAGACGAAGGCAAAAAAAACCATTGCTGAACGTGATCCCCAAATTAAATTGGGTAACTCCCTCAAACAACTTCCTAAAAGCTATAGTTTTCGTATGAAGACATGCTTGATCCAAAAAAGGTGGACATAAATGCCACCCAGGGCTGTTTAAATATAGTTTTGGCTCAAGTGATCTGTTCAAATGGGTTTGGCTAACCTTGAAATGCAGTCTTTGTGAAACCGCCTTTGCGTCTGGCTAACAGGTAAGACATGGACCTAAGACTAGAGGCTTTCTTCCGCCCAAAGCTCTACAAAGCCTCCGGGCTCCGGGAACCAAGACCAGAATTAATTAAAATCTGAGAAAACAACAAAGTTTGTTTCCTCCATAGCAAACACAAACCTTGCAACTCCTCGCAACATTTTACATTCATGTAATTGAATTATTTATTGGCCAATTCATGTTTTTAAGATGTGGTGCGCCACGTGGGCCGCCCGGTGCTCTAGGCTAGAGTCCAAGGCTGCATATCTGTCTGCCAGGGACAGCCCTAAGCTCTAGCAGAGTCGAAACTTTAATTGTTGGGAGCCGCAGGGAGCAGCTCTGCTGCGATATTAATATGGAGACCCGCCGGACTGAAGTAAATAAGCAAAGTCTCATCTCTGCATTGCATGGTGTAAAGCCAAGTTTGCAATGATTTGGGAGTGCTGTAGCACACCCAATACCCCATGGTGCCACCGCTGCAGTTAAGGCAACATGCTACATATGAAATTGTTAAAGACGGTTTACATCTACTTTAAATTCCAAACTTTCTGCTTTCATGGATATTCCCTCTTTATTATGGCCAGGACTAAAAAAAATCAAATATATTTTATTTATTTGGTCATGTAAATAGGAAATATTGCACATTATATGCGATATTATATAAGACATTTATTATTTCTTCTAACAAGCTTTAGTCCACTTTTTTTACATTTTCTTTACTTCCTGCTGAAAAAAGCTTTTTGTTTACAGAATTCAATAGCTCAAAATGAAATTTACACTCACAAATGAATGAGCCAGAACAGTTGCTCTTCACTCTTACTTTCTATAACTGCCCTTGAACTTGACTATTAACCCAGCCTGTATAGAGGAGAGTAAAGTTTGCCATACCCAGAGCGAATTAACAGATGAACGGGCTAAAATTCGAGCTGTGTGTGGCCCTGTCGGCACCCCTCTGCTCAGTACTGTGTTGCCTTGAGGAAGGGACCCTGTGTGGCCCCTGAAACATTGGCTGCATGACTTACAGCAGGGGTGCCCACAATTTTTTGTGTTAAGATCTATTTTTGAAATGAGGAGATACACGAGATCTACCAACGAAAAAAAACAAAACCTCCCTGCTCTCTCTCTCTCCTGGCCGTCTCTCCTCACTCTCCACTGGCTGTCTCTCCTTGCGCTCTCTCTCCTGTCTGTCTCTCCCGGCTCACCTTGCTGTATTTTGCAAACAGTGCATTGCAACAAGCCGTGTAAACTAATATTCTTTGATATATTACATAGCACTTCAACCACCAGTATTCACCAGAAAGGTGTCAGGAAGCTTGGCTCAGCAGACTCAGGCTAATAGGTAATTATGTATGCACAGCTAAATAAATATGCTAAAATGGAATAAAGGGGCCACCATTCACACCCTTCATGATCTACCGCAATCAGCTTTGAGAGCTACTGGTAGATCACGATCTACCTAATGGGCACCCCTGACTTACAGTATGTGTTGCTATGTAAATAAAATTGCACTGATTTCTTCATCTTCATGTGGCGTGCTGGTGACCTTTCTTCTCTTTGTGAATTAAAACTCATGGCGCTATCCGTTGCTCTCACTACAAGCCTCCTCCTTTATTCTTTTGGTCAGAACACTGTATGGAGTGCAGTTTGGGACTGTCTGATTTTTCAATCAACTTTTGTCAAAGCAGCTGGTCTGGGATGTAGCCAATCCAGGATATGGCTGGCACATAGGAAGCCAGTGTGCCAGTAAGATCAGGATGCATGCACACTGGCCTTAGGGGCCTTAGATGGTAGGTGCAGTTTGACTGGTAGCTATAAAAGCACCTTTACTTACTTAGCTTTTATAGATCAATGCAGTTTTGTTGAACTTTAAACCTAAAATACATATATTTCAGCACACAGCTAACTTCCTATACAGTACTCCAACAACCGAGAACTACAACTAACATTCTGTTACCTACTTTTACAAAAAAAAAAAATCAGCTTCCCAGCAAAGTTACATAAATGTCAAATACCTTCAATTATGTGCAGGTTTGGGTACACGGCGGTGGATGTTGACCCTGGCCCTTTTACATAATGTTGACAGATAGCTGGAGGATGTTTTTCCATTGTCCGCAGGATGTGCTGAGAAGGAACCTGTCAGCAGCTTGATGGAATATTGGTGCTGGATGTTTATAGATATAACTGGTAGGACCCAAGGGAGGCTGGCAAATCATAACAGCAGTCCTGACTTTCTCTACATGTGCAGACATAGAACTCTTTATTGCAGTTCTCTTTTCACAAGAAACTTTGAGGGCCCGTCTACATCTTAGCATTACGATAAATGCTCCCTTTTGATGCCACCCAACACAGTGCAATGCACAGTACTGGACACTAGGTGCACCGTGCAATGATGTGTTGGGTTGCCATTAATTGTCATAGGCAATGCACAGTACTGCACACTAGGTGCAATGATGTGTTGGGTTGCCATTATTGTCATGGGCGCTTTAACATACCTCCCGGCATGTGTCTGTTTCAGCACCATGCAACATGTGTTACTGCAGTAACGTGCCTTGTGTTGTCATGTGGTGAAAAAAAGTAATGCATGCATTATGTTTTAGCACAGCAGGGCAACAAAACACACATTATTGCGGTTCACCGCGTTGCATATTGAGAATTAATCACAACATAAGGCACAAGTGCATCAAGTGAGCGGTACCGTGCACTGTGAAATAGCATGCACTAAAGGGAGGCAGAACTAGTACTGTAGACCAAACTGAGACACTTCAGAAATCAGTGTAATATTTCCTTAAATCGATGGCAGAATTATTAACAATTAGCAGCAGTTTTTAGATCACAGAGACTTTTGTAGTGAGCTAAACAGATGCTACAGAGAATCAGAGCTCTTGACAAAGTTATATAACTGGACAGATACGTATTCAAAGTGGCTGTGCCTTGTGTGAATCTTGTATTATATTGTAACATGAATCTGTGCAGTGACAAACTTGGCGTTACAACACCTATAAAAATAGGGCTGGATTTTTGCATAGCTAACATAGGCTGTGGCCTAAGGCTGCCAGGGGCGGCACACAGCCAACCACACATCATGTTGCTGAGAGTCAGTAAAACAATGCCATGTACAAAGGTTCCAGATCAATGTCCTGCCTGCCAATTCAATTTGGCTGACTCAATATTGTTGCCGACCCTAAACAGCTTGTGATTTCTTGCGTGGGAAGGGGGTGGCCAGAGAGAATTTATGGTTTCCCCACTCCAAGCTTCCAAGCTCTTCTAGTCATTGGCTCTAGGTGTACTCAGTGGATAAAATGGCTCGCCCAGCCTCTCTACCCCCAGCCTTGGTGTGCCTTGTGTGGCTATGTGCGAACTGTGTTTCTATGCAGTCATGCATTTAAAATCTCCCACACTGCATAACCAGGAAGATGACTCTATTGATAATGATGGGTATTCTTTGACTGCGTCAATCACGTGAAAATTCAATCACGCTCCAGGCAATCCCTGCACCCAGGGATTATCCCTAATGCATGGACAGGGCTGCCGAACATGCAGTCCTCCCGTACTGGGCCTGGGCCCCAATAGATCGGCAGGGGGGCCTGACAGGGAATGGCACAGCACAATGCAGGCTTAGCATCCGCTCTGCTTTCTGCACTAGTTCCCTGCCCTGTCCTATCTAGGGGTGAGTCTCCTTGGCAATGCAGTGTGTTGGGTGACATCGAAAGGGAGCAGCTCTCCAAAGCATGGGTGTTCTTGGGGTGTAATGTGAGTGGGTGATGAGTGTAGGACCTGGGGGCGGAGGAGGAGATATTCAGACCGGAGCCAGGCACAGCCAAGCTGCTGCTGACCACATGGCACACTTGATCTTCAATTTTCAGCAACACTTGTTGGTGGCGGACTAAATTTGTTGGCCCCTTTCCAACTGGCGCCTTCAGTTCCGATCCACAGGGGATCCATGCGTGGATCCCCTACTGATCAGAATGGATGTCATCGTTGTGAAATTACTGGACCCAAATTGGTCTAAGGGGAATGGGATGTATTGTAAACAGACTTGTGTCTGTTTATATAGTGTCAATTTACATCAGATTACCTCTGATCCGGCACAGTCAGGTCTGTTTGTTTTTCTGGACCTAGTCGGAGTCCGGCGTAATTGGAAGTAAACAGACACCCGTCAATTTAGATCTGGCTGTCTATAGACTAACATTGGGCTTCTGATCAGGTCTGCCAGGTAGACCTGATTGGAATGCCCTTGTGAAAGAGGCATTACAGTGCTCTACTAATAAACAGGAAGCAGAGACTGCATATGTAACAAACAAATATAGCCGTCAATGCTGAAGCCTGATGAAGGGACCCTGCGAGGTCATTTCTATTCTGACAACTTGTTCAATAAAATGAGCATTTGGTGATTCTAAAAGGATTTTTGGTGTGCTGGTGACATTTTTCATAATCCTCCTATGTATACAGCGGTGCCATCCGCAGTCATTTCAACCACGCTCCCCATCGTATAGGAATTCCGGTAAGGAGTGCGACAAGAAGTTTTATGTTAAACAGATATAGCTGCCCCCATACAGGATAGATAGAGAGAGAGAGAGAGATAGAGAGAGAGAGAGAGAGAGAGAGAGAGAGAGAGAGAGAGAGAGATAATCTACAGAGGGAAATAATGTTTTGAAGTTAATAACACATGCACAGATTTAAGATCATTTAAACTTGTCTCATCTCTTTCACAATAATGTATAAAATGAACTTTAAAGCCTCTCGTTCCCCTTTAATGAAGAGCAGCTTAGAAAAGTTCTGCTTAGAATTTTGGCATGAAAACGCTATAAACTGTATTTCCCAGTCTGAAATGTTCCACAGTATGTGACTTTTGTTTGTATGTACTTTTGTAGGAGTCTGGTGAATGGGACATTTTCTGAGATCAAAGACCGAATGTTTTCTCATCTGCCTTCCCTGCAGCTGCTGTGAGTACCGCACTCCATAACAATACACATACTGAAGCTCCTTTCATTGTAGATGGCATAGGGCATCATTGTCATTCCAAACACATCACTGCAAATAGTGTTTGGGAAAGCATGCTAGCTGCTCTCTCACATTGTGTTATTTCCATTAAAAACTGTCTCCAGTAACCATTTCTGTTCTGCAGTATATTTATTAACACATAATATGAGCTGGAATATGTACAAAGTTAGATTGGAACTCTTCTTACACCGGCTTTATTCACTAATGTGGAAGAAGCAATGATGGAGTGCAAACTTCAGATGCCTTTTTACTGGCTAACTCAGTGAATGGTTAAAGTAGGGGTAGACAACCTCAGCACTCTAGCTGTGGGGAAACTACAAATTCCATCATACCTCTGCCTCTGGAAGACATGCATGTGGCTGTCAGAGTCATGCAATGCCTAATCGGAAATGGAGTCTAACCACAGCTGGAGTGCCAAGGTTGGCTATCCCTGCTAACCCTGATTTAAAGGATACGTCAAGCAAAAAACTTTTTTTGGTTTTGGATAGAGTGGGGAAGGATAAGACCCCCCTGTCAGGTTTTTACTGTTATTCAAGGCTCCGCTAGAGATTTACTCTCACTACCCGTCCTGCTAATAACAGTCTTACCAAACTGAAAGTGAGGGAACATTTGCAACAGGGACACAGACAGAAGTAAAAATCCAACTGGGGCTCTAGCCTTCTTTACTACTCTGCTATTTATATTACAGACATCTCAACTTTCCCGGACGTTCCCGGAGTCTCCTGCTATAAGATAGCGGCTCCCGGAGGACTGGGAGAGAAACATTTGATCCCGGAAAAGATTTATTCTGCTCTATCTAGCAGAGTAAACCTTTCCCTGCCGTATTCTTAATTTTAAAATTACTATTTTGATATCGGGGCCGCCGACCGCCGTCAGAGTAAAAAAAAAAAAGACAGCACTGAAATGAATAGCTAGGATTCTATTGGCTATTTCAATTTGCAATAGCCAAGAGCCAATAGCAGAAAGGCTATGGCACCAGCCCACTGCTGCTGTCAATCAGCAGAGGTGGACCTGAAGTTCTGCATCAGGTCCTCCTCTGCTGATTGGCAGCAGCAGTGGGCGAGTGCAATAGCCAGCCTGCTATTGGCTATTGCAAATTAAAATAGCCAATAGCAGCTTAGCTATTCATTCCCATCCTGTCCGTTGTGGGTTTTTTAAATTCTGACTGCAGCAGGTGTCAGAATACAAAGAAAAAAACAGCAGTTAGCAAGGGAAGCATTGGCCATCAATTCAGGGAGATACC